TTCTTTTTTTTTCATTTCAGTTAGAATACTTTAACTGCAGTATTGTTTCGGGCTACTTTTCACACATCTGCTGAATGCATTGAGTTTACATCTGTGAGACACTAGAGGGCAGAGTGTAGCTATTTTCATCTCCACTTTTCTTTAAGTGTTCAGACTGTAGGCCTCTTCAGCTGATTGATCACAGATCAGCCTCCTGCTTTATTTTGAGCCACTTAAAATTACTCACAGGTCAGTCGCATAAGCACCTACTCCTGCTGACCACAAACCACAAAACCTTGACACAGTCACAGCATGTACAGAGACACTGCACTAAGAAGCAATGTTAACTTTAGACAAATGCTTTTTATCTTAAAACATGTCACCTTTATTTATTAACATTATTTTGCTTTCTCCCTTAAGTATCTTGCTTTTACAACCCCAAACATTTAATGGAAAAAATAAAGTCTATGTCTATCTAATGACTAAGCTTGGATTAGGGTGAAGTTGGAGCCCGAGTAGGATGACACTTAGGGCTCCCAAACGTTCAGAAATGTCCTTGCGTACGTAGCACTGTGCTATGGATGCACCAAACTCACTTTTCTTCCTCCAATTCCTGAACAGGCGGTATGGGCTGATGCGATACCAGCACTCTTTTTTTCTTGCTCAATTCAAAATCTTTATGTACACTTCACTGTATAATTACATGATTATAACAATCATGACTGAAAGACACTGTTGAGTGTTATTCTGTCTTGTCTGGCCAATACTCAGTCTGTTTAAAAGATCAGTATTGTTGCCAGTACTGGTGTTAAGTATCCACTCTGGTGATAGCTGGTCATCATATTGGCTGAGAGGGCTACAAAATCAGGGTTTTAGATTGAAGATGATTAGATTGAAGTGCAACAACATCCCAGTATAAATGCACAACAATTTTTAGAGTTACTGCAAAAAAACTTGGACATTGAATTTACTGAATTTACTATGGTTTTGGAATGTATGGAATGCTGTTTGTTCCAAGGAGCACTCAATGGCACAGTGGTTTGAAATTGTTCTGGCAATGTCCTGAAAAAAGTTATATATTGAAAAAACAGTGTGCATCAGTATATTTATGGAAAAAATTTATTTGCTCACCTTTGTACAGTGTAACAGAATTTATATTAAATTTACTAAATTTATACCAGATTCATTACAGGTGACTTCATACTCAGACTGTCCACCAGGGGTCCCCTAAGACTTCTGTCACAATTCAAATACTGAATATAACACAACACCTATCAATGTCTCACACGCTGTAGCATCACGTCTGAGAGCCCCTTCCCAGCAACAGTAAACAATGAAATGAGCTGTGTAGCTAGCTACAGGATGCACTTAACTGTTTAAATGTTATTACCTTTACCTAAAACTATAGCAAGCAAACAGAACAATCACAATGTGTGTAACATTGCATTTCACATCATTTTATGTATATATATTGAAAGCAACATGATGTGTATGCCAAACATTTCTTTGAAAAAAGAAAGAAACTCACTCCAAGTCAAAGTCAACTTTATTGTCATTCCTTTTCACCACCATGAAGGAGGAAATATACAGTGGCACCAAAACATATTTAAACACTTTGACCATTGGTGAAAGAACTGAAGTTCCTTAGCTTCATAAAATGTTGAACAAAATGATATTTGACTCTTTACACTGCACTAAGAGTACTTTAAAGCACAAGGACGGAAAGGTCTGAGGCTGTTTTTCTTACAGTAAGTGTTCACTGATGAAATTTTAAACTCAGAGGTGTACAAAGGCATTCTGGATTCAAGCCTGCAAAGAAATAACGATCAGAGACACACCCGCTGACATTGCCAAAGAGAGAACGAAAGTCTTGGAATGGTCCATTGAGAATAAATGCCACATTTTGTTCACTAATGCAACATTTATGAGTATGGCACAAATGTCCAAATACTTTTTGGGGTCACTTTAGCTCCTCTGGAACATGCTGCTACATGAAACACAGATCAGCAGCAAACAACAGTACAAACAGACAATGAGTACAGAATATAGAGTATACACTCCACACTGAATTATACGACTGTGAATACAGGACAAAGAGACAGTTACAGTACAGAAACAGTACAGAGTGATTGTTTGTATGGGTGCATGTATAGCAGTGACAACTGTGATAACAGTAATAATCCTAAGCAGGGGATAACAGTGTCAACAGTGAAGAGAGCATGTGCAGAATAAGTGTCCTGTGCATACAAAGCATATTGTAATGTAATTTAATGCCTCTCGTTTAAAGTCTCTAGTGTACGAATGATGTGGCAAAACCCTCCTTGATGCAAAAATGAGCACTTTAATTATGATATATGTACTTTTGGGAGCAAATTCAATGAAAGCTGAGTACTATTCAAGTAACCATAAAGAGGATTCAGCTAATATGATGTAGAACTCTACTGAGGAAATATAGCTGAATGCCCATGTAAGGGGTGATCTGTTGATGAGGGAGAAGCAGAAACGGTTGCCATGGGCCTTTAAAGGACAGCTCTTGGACCAACAGGAAGTGTGTAGGTGGAGTAATTACTGAGCGTGCTCTTATGTTCCACTGCGAGGTGGAAACATGCTTCAGTGTGTCAGTGAGACATTGTTTTACAACAGTTTTGAAAAGGTTTTGGTCTAAAATATATTTTTTACAATCCATTCATGGTGGAGCAGTACATGCAGGGTGTCGTAAGTAAAAATAGTCCCCAAAGAAAACTTATTTTCTCAGATTTACCACTATTTTCCCATCATCAACATTACATATAAAATTCAGAAGACATGTGTAGGTTCACTGGTGGTTTTGTGGGCTTTGTAGGCAGCATAATGGTCTAAGATTATTCCATGAAGAATAGTTCAATTAAATTCAATTCAGTTTAATTTCATTTCAGTTCAATGCAATTCAATTCAGTTTAGTTTAGTTCAGTTCAGTCCAGTTCAGTTCAGTTCAGGTCAATTCAGTTTAGTTCAGTTTAGTACAGTTCAGTTCAGTTTAATTAAATTCAGTTTAATTTCCTTTCAGTTCAATTCAGATCAATTCTGCTCAGTGCATTTTAATTCAATTTAATTCAGTTCAGTTCAGCTCAGTTCAATACAATGCAATTCAGTTCAGTTCAGCTCAGTTCAATGCAATTCAATTCATATAAATTCTGCTCAGTGCATTTTAATTCAATTAAATTCAATTCATTTTCATTTCATTTCAGTTCAGTGTAATTCTGTTCAGTACAATTCAGTTCAGTTCAATTCAAATCAATTCAGTTCAGTTACATTTAGTTCAGTTCAATTCAATTGTCAAGTTTACAACCATAATTGTATTTTGTTACAGCACTGCCAAGGCTTCAGTGGATTATAGTGGATTATAAGAAGAAGATTTTAAGATGTCTGAACATTTAAGATTTGATAAGATTTACATTAAATGTTCAAAAACACTCACAGACACTTGAAATGAACAGACAGAACGGAAGCATTAAAGCACCTACTAGTAACCACTTTGACCATGGTCAGGTGACCATGACGTCTACCCCCAGTCATCACTCTAATCATCACTGACATCACTGACCTATACAGACAACCCTGAGGCTGTGTCTCAAATTAACCCCCAGTTCCCCACACAGTGAATTACTATCTAGAGAATGAAAGTGAGCACTCTGATGACATCATGAGATTATGTGTACTGGAATACTGGGACTCTTCTGCTGCTGTAAACATGAGCTGCTAGTGTGCATGTGAACGGCCCTCAGAACTCATCAGTTCCTTTCTGAAGCTTGGATTTTTCCATGCCACTCAAATTGAGAAAAAGCTAAAATTGACATAACTTTTATGCATAAACTGCATGATGTCTTGGGAGAGCAAGAAAACAATAAAAAGCTCAATGTTTTAAAAATGTACTATGTTATCTGCTACAAACAAATTGGGGGTTAAGTGGTTAAATTCTCCATCAGTACATGATCAGTACATCAGTACATAAGTAGCTTACGTTTGTCTAGTTTGGATCTATCAATCAATCAATCAATCTATCTATCTATCTATCTATCTATCTATCCATCTATCTATCTATCTATATATCTATCTATCTATCTAACTATCTGTCTGTCTATATATATATATATATATATATATATATATATATAGATAGATAGACAGACAGATAGATCTCTTTATCGCTCTCTTTATCTATTTATCTATCTATCTGTCTGTCTGTCTGTCTATCTATCTATCTATCTATATATATATATATATATATATATATATACAGACAGATAGACAGATAGATAGATAGATAGATAGATAGATAGATAGATAGATAGATAAAGAGAGCGAGTGAGAGAGAAAGAGAGAGCAGCTATGTGCAGCAAATTGATAGATAGATAGAGAGAGAGAGAGAGAGAGAGAGCAGCTATTGATCATAGATCATGCATGGGCCAAAAATAATTACATATTTTAGATCTACATTAGCTTGCTTATTTAACCTAGACATTAAAAATATATTAGATTTTTTAACCTCTTGAAGGGAAATTTCACCTTTTTTCCAAATTCTCTGCAAAATTCAATCGTTAAGATGTAAACAAGGTCCATTCAGTGTAGTTTGGTGTAAAATGTTCTGTTTCTAGAGAAACTTACTGAGTCATAATTGTCCACAGTGGTGGTAATTGGGAACCAGACGTCAGAAGAGTTTAATGCCTCTAACATTTCCCTCACAGAAAAGGGCTACAAATCATTCTTACGAATGCGCTGTATGATGCCTGAGTTATCACCACAGTTAAAAATTTTACAATACTGTGGAGATTCCCTTTAATCATAAACTTAGCGCTGGTTAGAGAGAGCAAAATAGTATGTTTCACATTTTTACTTCTTTACATACTTGTAAGTAGTGATTTATATCGTAGATTTGTGTAGCTCTCCGCGCGCACGCACGTTCGCAAGCACGAGCACGCGCCCATACAGACGCACACACAAACACGGGCGAGCACGCGCACTGGAGCAGACGTGCGCGCGCTGCTGTGTTGTAGAGCAGGAAGGAGAGAAGAAAGCAGCCACAGCAGCAGCAGCTGTTTGATGGACGCGCGAGAAGAAGAGAGCCGTTCAGCGCGTGTTTACCGAGCAGTGTGCGCGCGTGTCTGGAGCCCGCAGAGCGTGTTTGTGGAGGGCGAAGAAGCGGAGAACGGCCTCGGATTAATCAGCGGAGACTCCCTGTCCGTCCTCACCGGCCATCCGTTACACTCAGCAGGGCTGCGTGTGAGCGCGTGAGAGAGGGAGACAGAGGGAGAGAAAGGGAGTGTGTGAAGGGCCGTGCATGCTGATATCGTGTGTGTGAGTGTGTGAGTGTGTGTGTGAGGATGGGCTGCACGCTGAGCACGGAGGATAAAGCGGCGGTGGAGCGCAGCAAGATGATCGACCGCAACCTGCGGGACGATGGAGAAAAAGCAGCGCGCGAGGTGAAGCTACTGCTACTGGGTAAGAGAGAGAAAGAGATGTGGGGGCTTTAAATACAACACAACAAAACACACACGGGGTAGTAGAACACGCTGGGTGGGTAGACTGGAGGGGTGTGTTGTTGGGGGCGGCTCATACAGACTGGATGAGCAATAGAACACACTCTGGGGCAACATGACACACACACAATAGAACAGATTCAGTAGGTTATAATAAAGACTGGAGGGGGGCGTAAAAATACATACACAAAAAGGGGATGGTGGATAATAAGACAGAATGAAAAAGATAGGGGTAATAAAGACTAGAGGGAGGCAGTTATAATACATACCGGAAAAGGGGTGTTGGATAATAAGACAGACTAAAAAAGATAGGGGTAATAAAGACTGAAGGGGGGCAGTAATAATACACACTGGAAAGGAGATGGTGGATAATAGGATAGACTGGAAGGGTTAGGGGTAATAAAGACTGGAGGGACAAGTAGTACAGACTCAGTAGGTTATATGCAAACATGAGCAGGGCTGTAACAATACATACTGGAAAAATGGGAGGGGGTAATAATACAGACTGAAGCAGTAAGGAGGTATTACAGCATGGAGGGGCTATAAAACTCATGTAGAGAACACACACAGGAGCAATAGAACAGACTCAGTGGGTTATAATAAACACTGGAGGGGGCAGTAATAATACACACTGGAATAGCGGGAGGTGGGTAATAATACAGGCTACAGTAGAACAGACTGGGTCAGTACAGACTGGAAAAGCTGTGATTGAGAGATTACAGACTGTGTAGGTAATGAAACACACACAGGGGCAATAGATTGACTTTCGAAGAGTGGGGGGGTAATACAGACTGAAGGGGCAAAAGAGCACACAGGTGAAAAACCCAGAGGGGTTCCAGAATAAATTGGGTGATAATATAATAACTATAAAATAGACTGGAGGGGGCAGAAATAACTGGGAAAATGGGGGGTAAAAATCTTTGAAGGGTGGAGAATAATAAAGACTGGACAGGCAGTAGAGCACACACAAGACCAGTGGGTGATAATATAGACTGCAGGGGGGCTACAATAATACAGAATGGAAAAAGTGGGATAATAATGCAGAGTGGAGAGGTAGTTATACAGATGTATGATAGTACGGACTAGGGATGGTTAGTACAGATTGGGGTGATACAGAGCTTGAGGGGCAGCAAAACACACTAGGTGGGTAATAATACAGACTGGAAAAAGGCAGAGAGGGTTAATAATATAGACTGGTGTGACAGTCAAACACACTCAGGGGTGACAGAACACAATCAGAGCAATAGAACACACAGGACAGGTAATAATTCACACTGAACTGGGCTGTAGTAATGCAGAATAGAAAACAGGGGTTAATAATACCGACTAGACAAGTGGCAGTAGTGGTGGGGGGCCAATACAGCCTGGAGGGGTATTAGGACACTCACATGATGAGTAGAACAGACTAAGTGGTAAATGATACAGACTGGAATTAGAACTCGTGCAGAGGCAATAGAACACACACAGGGACAATATAATACACACAGGAGCAATAGGACACAAAAGTTGGCTTGTCAGGTTGTTGTGCCTGCATAACACACATCTACACCCTCTCTCTCTAGGTCTCTCTCTCTCTCTCTCTCTCTCTCTCTCTCTCTCTCTCTCTCCCATCCCTCTCTCTCTCTCTGCACAGCTGATCTGATAGTTGGCCCACGGCTTCATTCATTGGCATTACTGTTCTGTTCATTGTTCATCTTTGTCACTGGTGTTCTGGCGGTTGAGAATTGAGAAAACAAACAGAACAGAGGTCAGGAGTGGAAATGAAATGAGAAAATGAGAATCACACAGGCGTATCCTGAGCAAAAACAGCGTTTTCTCGCCCCCCCGGTGAGTCAACATGGTTGAGAGCACACACCATCCAAACAGATGGCAGCTAGAGGCCTGCCAAAAGCCCCACATCACTGCACATCCTGCTGCAGAGAGGGCCTACAGGTTTCCCCTCTTACACCATCAGAGAAGCTATGGGTTACTCAAGAGGAAACAGCCTTCCTTTCGCAGCTACACGAGTTTAAATGGGATGTTTAAATAGACGGAAATGTGTTTTTTAAATGGATCAGTGAGGTCAGGCTTTGCGTGGGCGTTTGTTGCTTTCTTAGAGCTGTCTTTGCTGAAACCTTGATGTTGTTAGCATGCCTTGCTATTAGATTAGAAGTTGCTTTCTGTCATGCTGTCAGATCTTTACAGGACCAGCTATTTTAGCAATTTAAAAAATGGTTTGACTAATGTAGATAACAAATAATGGAAGCTAATACACATTATGTGAGCTGCTTACCTAAATCATCACACACTTGCCTCAGACCATCTGAGTTCCTCTGATTTTTCAACATTTCTGCTTAATTCAGTGGTTAAGATGAATTCAGTGGTTTTGTTGTGAAATGGTTCATTGTAGAGAAACGTACTGACTTATTGTTATCTGTGGTGGTGATAGGAACCAGGGGTCAACATGTCCACAACGCAAATATAGACATTTTATTTACTATCCAAAACCACCAGTGGACCATCACATGTCTGAGTTTTTATATGTAATGTTGATAAAGTTAAAAAAGTGATAAACCTGACAATACTAACCCTAACCTAAACCCTAACTAACCCTAACCCTAACCACCACTGTGAACATTTCTGACTTGGTAAGTTTTTATAGAGCAACACATCTCACGTCAAACCACTCTGAATGACTTTGTTTACATGAAGTTTATTTAAGCATGCAGAAACTGCCTTTCAGTAATCTCAAATAGACTTCCTTACATTGTTCCTGACACTGTTATGTATAAACGTGAACAAAACTACAGATAAAATTCAGGCTTGAAGATGGTTGCTACTAATGTTTTCTGCTATGCAGCATTCTTTCATCCATGCTTGTAGATAACAGTCTGCTATACAGTGTCAGAAACCACAGAAGCAAATTTGTCTAGAGATTACGTAACAACTCAACACTATTTCACACAAATGTGTGACAAACCAAAAACCATGTGCTGCTTTTTGTACCAGTGTACAAAATACATTAATTAAGTTATGTTGTATGACATGCTGGTTGAACACGTCAGCATGAACTGGTAACGGAGAGTAAAGGAAACAGCATATTTTAACCTTTTAACAGCTATTCCTAATCTAATTCCTCATCATCACTGTAATGATCTGTAAAGTGTTCTGTTTTCTGTAGGTCTGTTTAACTTTAAAAAAGATAGAAACAGTGTCACTTGCATTTTTACTCTTTTGAACAACAAATCAAAAAATGATTTCAAGCAAAGTGAAGTATGATGACAGATAAAAAGGAATGTAAAGTGTCTCTGCTCAAGGTTCCTAATTGCTCAAAATGATAATAATAAAAAGAAACAGATTGATTATTTACATATGTTGCTCCTAGAAGAAGATGTATGGTTTTCATGATGTTATGACTGGAAAAACTTCAACCCTCTCATCTAGAATTCCTCCTTGACAGTTCTTCTGACCCTTGGAACTTAGATGTGGGCTGTTCTCATAGATTTGTAGAGTTGGATGTGAGCTGGTCTTATAGATCTTTAGAGTTTAGAGGATTTTACAGCTCTGGGTATGAATCGTCTTTAGAGTTGGATTGAACAGCTTTGGATGTGGACTGTTCTCATAGATTTGTAGAGTTGGATGTGAGCTGGTCTTATTTAGAGTTAGATTGTACAGCTCTGAATGTGGTCTAATTTCATAGTCCTTTAGAGTTGAATTGTATGTGAGCTGGTCTTGTAGACCTTTCAGTTGAAATGCACAGATCTGGATGTGAGCTTTTCTGGATCTTTTGAGCTTAATTGTACAACTGGGTTGTACTACTCTAGTTGTTGACTGTTGTCTGTTGACTGTTATCTGAGAAAGGATTGTACAGCTCTTATAGATCTTCAGATTTGGATCACACAGCTCTGGATCTGGATTGTTCTCTAAGATCATTAGAGTTGGATTCCACAGCTCTGAATATGGACTATTCTCTAAGATCTTTAGAATTGGATTCCACAGCTCTGAATCTGGACTGTTCTCTAAGATCTTTAGAGTTGGATTGTACAGCTCTAGATGTGGACTATTCTCATAGATCTTTAGAGCTGGATTACACAACTCAGGATGTGAGCTGTTCTTCTAGATCTTTAGAGTTGGATTGTACAGGTCTAGATGTGAGCTGTTATACATCTTTAGAGTTGGGTTGTACACATCTAGATGTGAGCTGTTCTTGCAGATCTGCAGAGTTGGATTGTAGAGCTCTGAATGTGAGTTGTTTGTATAGACTGAGTTGAATTGCACAGATCTGGTTGTGAACTATTATAGATCCTTAGAGTTGGATTGTATATCTTTATAGCTGAGTTGTGGATGTGAGCTGTTATACAGCTCTGGATGTGAGCTGTTACACATCTTGGTTTGTACAGCTCTGAATGTGGGCTGACAGTAGCAATTTGTTTGTCCTTTAATTTGCTCAACAGCTATTTGACTATCTGAAGCGTCGCCCCACACGGTCTCCTACTGGTATATTCTATAAGAGGTTCAATTTTAGTGAACTTTTTTAAGGGAACATAATTTTCTCATTTGCATGAGTTGGTGTCTGTTGTCTGTCAGCACATCTTCTTATTGAAATCAGTGGCTAGAGGTGCATTTTGATTGATGCAGAATGTCCTTGCATGTAGCCCCATGCTTAATTGTGTACTGCAGTCACCTGGACCTCACTGCTCCTTGATCTGACATGTCTGTCACCCCAAAGTCTTGGTTACTAAGACCGTCTACGTGTCTCGTTTTTCTCTTACTCTCCCTTTGTCACATACATGCGTTAGCCTGTTCAAATTACCCAATACAGAGATAACAGGGACAGAGAAAGGAAGTGAAGAACTCTAAGATGATCTTACCTAGTAACACACACACACACACACACACCATTAAATATGGAGCACTACTGAGCTGAGCTGAACTACACATGCAGTCTTACAAAGTCACACATCAGTAGCATTTTTTATCATT